GAGCGCTCTTTAGCCAACGTGCGATAGATGAATTGTTATTGCAAGCGCAGTGGGAAGCCGTGCAGTTGTGTCCCGGGGTTTTGGTTGCGGGACTCGAAAGGCGAATGGGATCAGGGTCTAGGTAGGCTGGATGAACATGCGATGCTGCATGTTGGATGCAACAACAGATCGATCGTTGAACAGAGCGTGGGTATACGTGTCGTTGTAACAATGTTTTGAGCTTCCCAACATTGCGCGATGCTTGTCTTTGGGACATCGGTTGGAGGGCGACCATGGACTTGGGCCAATGGGCTTACGTGCATCGCGCGGCGTTGTAGTAGTTGGCTGGGTAAACATGCGCTGACGGTGTTGGTACAACAGTATATCAGCCGATGACTTCTACAGGTATACTCTTGCTGCTATTTGTTGATACTACCCAGGTGGTCTCAGACGTATCGCATATTTGTTGCGTTTTCCGCACGACGTATATGCTCAACCCGATGCAATGTCATATCAAAGCCAGCAGTGACTCCCGATGGGTACGGTCAGGTGGTAAACTTGGTCAGCCCTCGACTCATCACACTGACGACGTTCATGTCGTGTCCGGGTTCGCTGCCACGATCGTCGTCCAAGCGGACTCGCCCGCCCTCACTCTGCCTCATGGACCACAACAATGTGCTGAGGATATGCGTGAGTACGATGCAAGAGCCGGGTACTTTGGCGTATGAACGCAGGCGCCCTAAAGTTGCGGCTGGATCGAGCGAAGCGGAGAGACAAATGGCAAGAGCTTGCGCCACCTGTTGTTCTAAGTCTATTGACCGAGATGAATGCCCTAACGCCTGAGAGGATGTAAATCGTTGGTGGAGGCTGTGACTGTTTCATCCCACCCTTTGCCATCGCTGGCAATGACGAACATCTTTATGCGTAGAATAGGGTAGCCGCCACATCTGCGCACACCACGAAACGCAGCATGACGAGCCGGATGCAGACGCAATGAAGATGGCTTCACCTAGAACTTCTAGCAAGCGTTAGCCGTTGCATGCATGATCACACGTATAAGAAATGGCATGTGTACCTAGGTATTGCTAGAATTTATGTCGGGTCATTGCGACGAGTCGTGGCGTCGGGTCATTGTGTCGGACGATTTCCAACACCAACAATGACGCGCACCTAGCACGATCCGCGACTGGAAAGCCCTGAGGCTAGAACAGCGAGGTGCATGACGATGAGGATGCGGATGCGGCGTGGGGTGCGGCTCAGCAATCCTCTAGTGGGAAACCTGACCGCAGCGGAGACGACAATACTGCCTTTAAGACAGGGCGCCTTCTCATGGGCAGTGTACGAAGCAGGGCTATGCTGCGACCTGTCAACCGCCACGTAACGGTGGTCAAGACAAGGGTTTGTACTTTAATGTCCAGTGCTGCTCCTAATCGGCACATAGAACGCTCCGAGGTTTGGGCAATCTAGGTTTGACGTCGCCGTACATATCCGTCTTGTCTGTTCTCTTGGTTTCCAAGAACGCTCCTCATCGAGCGTTAATTCGCATCGTATTGTTTTCTTCTCTTCTTTTGCTATGCGTTCTCCAATCGACTTCGTGAAGGATCGCCATAACGGCCGGTATCGAGAGAGCATCGACAGCGATGACTACCCTTTAGCACAACCCAGGAGGGAAACTGAGCAACCACCAACGAATGGTCCGACTGCTCTTCCGTCGCTGCCAGAACCATACTCGGCTTTTTCGGTGAACCGCAGGAGGTTCATTCTAGGCGTTGTCACAGCGGCGGGCTTCTTTGGCCCACTATGCGGAGCTGTTTACTTGCCTTCTCTGAAGATCTTCGAGAAGATCTTTAATGCATCGGAGACTGCGGTAAACGGTACAGTCTCAATGTATATGATGGTGTTCGCCATTGCCGTAAGTCATCCGTACCGGCATCTCGAAATGCAAAACTAAGATTGCGTAGCCTCTCTTCGGTGCTGCTGCCTCAGACTTAGGCGGAAGGAAAACAGTATACATGGTCGGACTCGGCAGTTTCCTCGTCGCGAACACCCTACTTGCTGTGCTGCCACCACATATCGCGGAGCTGTACATTCTCCGTGTCTTCCAAGCATTCGGATCCTGTATCGTCTTCTCCGTCGGAGCCGGTACCGTTGCTGATATCACTGAGCCTGCCAAACGTGGAACCGCTTTAGCATGGTTTTTGATGGGACCTCAGCTTGGTCCTGTCCTTGGTCCGCTCATTGGTGGTGCACTCGCGGACGAGAGTAGATGGCGATGGATATTCGGTTTCCTCTCGATCGCGAGTTTTCCGGTATATCTACTCATCGTCTTCTGTACGCCAGAGACATTGCGATCGCTGGTAGGCAACGGCGCACCTGTCGCAAACCAGCCTTGGTTTACGATACCCAAGTTCCGGACACAGCCTTGTACAGACTCGAGAGCTCCGAAAGCTCCCCGTCCAACGCCCCGAAAGTTCCTGCATCTTCTTAAATACCCTCCACATTTGATCGTTTCCTTCAACGGAGCTTTCCAATTTGCTGGACTGTATGCCATTTTCATCTCGTTTGCCACCATTTGGCAGGAGGGCTACGGTTGGACGGCAGCAGAGACTGGGTATGCCTATATATGTCCTGGTATTGCGATGTTCGTCGCTTCGATGGTCGTCGGTCGACTTTCCGACTGGATGCGAAAGAGGGCTCTTGCGAGGAGCTCCACTGGCAAGGTTGCACCTGAGCGAAGAATTACCATCCAGATCTTTGGCTTCGTCATCGCTGCGGCTGGTAAGATTATGTTCGGCTGGTTTGCGCTCGCTCACTTTCACCCCGCCGCGGTCCTCTTCTGTACGGCTCTGGCTGCAATCGGAATGTCTATCATCTTCGTCACTAGTACATCCTTCCAGACTGAGTGCGACCCTGGCCAGGCGGCCAGTCTGGTGGCTTTGGCAGGATTCATGCGCAACATGGCTGCCGCGATCTCCTCACTGATCATGGCCAGTATTTTGGATGCAATGGGTTGGGGTTGGGCGTTCACCGGTCTGGGAATCATAGATCTCCTCTGCATACCAGGGATTATATTGATCATCTTCCGAGGCCCGAAGTTTCGACAGGAGTTGGAACGTGGACAGCAGCCAAAGAAATAAGTGGCTGTGTGGAAGACCTTGCGAGGTCTAGATACAGAATCTTGCTGCTCATTCTGACAGCGATGAGCGATAATCTGTCTTTAAGCATAGCGCGGCGTTAGTGAACATCAGACTTTGTATATTAGCATGCTACTGAAGGGTGCGGAATTGGAATTCATGCCGAGTCAAATGGCAAGAACGACCGCGTTAGTTCTGCAACCGCGTGATCTACAAGTCGACAGCAGGAGACCCAGAAGATTCCGATTAGCATTCCAATGAAGACCAAGTCGTGAGTAGCGTGGTGTTGTCGCATGCGCTGTCAGGGGGAGAAAGTTGTCCTACGTAGATGTGATGGAAGAGATCGATGTTCTAGAATAACCTCGGAAGTGGCTGGAAGGGCGAGTTTGGCCGATCATCGTAACTTCGACATCCACCACCAATTTGTCAGCAGCACTCGCCATCCATGTAGCACGGTAGGTATAAGAGCAAGCAGTCTCGCAGCGATGACATCATTTTATCAGCGAAATCTATCGTGCACAACTTCATCGTGGCGTTCAGAGCAAGTTTACGCAAAATGACCAACTTCAAGGTTGACATCGTTAGCGACACCGTATGCCGTAAGTCCTTATGAACAACGCATCGCATACTCTATATCCGATACTAATTAAGTCACAGCATGGTGCTACGTAGGAAAAAAGCGCTTGGAAAAGGGTATCGCGGCATACCAGGAGAAGCACCCAGACTCCAACGACACTTTCCAAACCAGCTGGTATCCCTTCTATCTGAACCCTGATGCGCCAAAGAGCGCAGACAAGCAACAACTGTACGAGTCGAAGTTCGGCAAAGAGCGCACAGCAATGATGCAGGAGCGTCTCTCGCAGATTGGCAAAGATGAGGGAATCAACTTCAAGTACGGCGGCAAGACTGGAAACACACGCGATTCGCACCGACTTGTGCAACTTGGAAAAACCAAGGGCCCGCAGACGCAGACTCGTGTGATCGAGGAGCTCTTCGCTGCGTACTTTGAGAATGAGAAGGATATCACCACTCAAGAGATCCTTACCGAGGCAGGAATCAAGGCTGGACTTGATGAGAAAGAGATCAAGGATTGGCTGGAGTCAGGCAAAGGAGGACCTGAAGTTGACAAGGAAGTCCAGCAGGCGCGCCGACAACAGATTACAGGCGTTCCCAACTTTACCATTAACGATCAGTTTGAGATCGGAGGTGCGCAGGAACCGGAGGCTTTTGTCCAGTTATTTGAGAGGTTGAAGAGGCAAGAGGGCAGCGGTTAGGTAGTTCAATGTAGAAGAACCATCTTAGCGAATCTGACCTATCCGCGAACGTAACACTACTGTATGTTTCTGTTTTCAGCATACAATGTCGTGTTGAAAAGTTATGTTATTTATTTGCATATCTCCATGTTAATGTAGGCTGCAGACTTGTTCAGTTTCTCCTACGTTAACGTGAGGACGTAGATATGTAACGAGTCAAATTGTTGGCGTGTAGGTCGGTTGAAGAAGGGCTTCTAGTGTTGGTGTCGAGTTCATCGTATCGCTGGTGATGACCAAATCGCGTCAACATGCCGCTAGTCTTCACCTCGGCAACTGCACCTCAACATGGTCACGCGCATTCTCCGTCACGCTTCTATGACATCTCGACGCGGTGATTGCGAGCGCTGAAGCTACCAGCCTCATTCCTCATGGTGCGCAGGTAGTACAACATGTAAGCACCGATGGAGGTGCTACGTGGGTGGCTGTGGCGTTAGCGCCAGTGCCATCGATCTGGGCATCTGCAGGGTTCACGACCAACAATCACCAAGACGCGCTTGGACGGCGCACCTCTCACAGCTACTTCAGTCGCCATGTCCTAGAATCCCATTAGAGTATACGGTCGACGACCTCTCCGATGGCTAACGATGCTCCGCAAACCCCGGCTGAGCGCCGCTTCCTGCGGCCCAGCGTAAGTCGCGTCTTCAGAGACCATGGAGGCGATGCGCTGACCATATCCTATAGCTACGCAGCGCGACTATGGTGCAGCCCAAAACTGGCGAGCGCATCAAGAGATCCTTCACCCTACGAAGATCCCAACACCGACCGACCGAATCCTCCGAGTTCCTACTTGCGCCCGGCCAATACGATGCTGAGAGACACCGGGAGATGGGAAGAGTCGAGTTTGCAAAGGTGGTGCTTACGAACAAATGTCGACAAGGCTACGCGTATGCGACGAGTCCTATTGGGATTGGCATCATGAAGTGCTCATTGGCCTATGTCCTCGGATCGTTGGCGACGTTCGTACCAGCAATCGCAGGATTACTGGGCAAGAACGATGGAAAGCACATAGTCGCGACTATCACTGTGTATTTCCACCCAGCTCGCTCGGCCGGCAGCATGCTGGAGGCTGTCATCTTGGCTTTCGCTGCCTTTCTGTATGCCGCCTTCGTATCCTTCTCTAGCATGGCCGTGTCCGCATACTTTGGAAACCAAAATCTGCTAGTACTTGGGCATGTGATAGTGCTCATTGTATTCTGTGGGGGAGGCTTAGGGCTTGTTGGATGGACAAAACAGAAGCTTGGGAATCCACTGGTCAACGTGGCTTGCTCACTGACATCGCTAGCTCTCATCACGATCCTGACCAAGGAGGGAGCTGTTCAGGCAGCCAAATTCTCCTACGTCAAAGTCTGGCAGGTTCTGAAGATGATAATCATGGGCTGTTCCGCCTCAGCACTCGTATCGCTCCTCGTACAACCAAAGTCGGCGCGCAACGAATTCCGCGATACGTTCATCCAATCGACAGATGCTATGGCAGAAATGCTCAACAACATCACCCTTAGCTTCCTTTCCGGTGCTGAATCAGACCTCAAGAGCGAATCATATGTCGAAGCATCGAACAAGAGCCAGTCAACGTTCAAAACACTTGTAAAGAACCTGGGAGAAGCCAAGTTTGAGCACTACGCGCTGGGTACTGAGGAAGAGTACAGGATTCACGCGAAACTGGTTAAATGTCTAGAAAAGCTCATGCAGAGCTGTGGTGGGCTGCGAAGCGCTGCCGAAACCCAATTTACGCTGTTGGCGCAATCCGAGGCCGCGCCCAGCGCCAGCGGAACGTCGCAGCAATCCATACCCGCCAATGGAACGGTGAACTCGTCGATATTCTCGGACCATACAATGTCCTTCAGTCCCCCGCAAATGTCTCCTAGTCTCAGCCATACAGAGAGGCGAACCAGCATTCTTGCATCTATCGACGAGTTACCGGAAAGTTCCCAAGCATCTGCATATCCCTCAGCAGCTGGATCCGACGACGAGTCCACTCCGACTAAGAAGAAGTCTGACCAAGTCGCGACCCTTCTGAAGTCAGATCTTACGCCTGCTGACATGTTCTCGGTGTTCATTGCTAGCTTGGGGCCACCAATGGTACGTCTAAGAGTCGCGGACTGTGAATTGTGCTAACACCAGTAGAAATCTTTAGCATACACACTACGCGAGGTCCTTTCTGAACTGCCTTTTGGACCTGGGCCCGAGTACAACATGGCTATCAACGAGCACTTCCGCCACAGTCTAGTCGATGCCAAAGCCCTCTTCTCAGATGCACGTCGGGAAGCCCTCTCAGCTGTCTACAAGAACAAGATACCAACGAGGACCAGCTCTGCAGCGATTGCAGCAGACTTCGAGGAGGTTGCCGCAAGCTGTGGATACTTTAGTTCGTCGCTTCTAGACTTCGCTGAAGACATGGTGTCGTTCCTTGACATCCTCGAAGAGCTGAAAGCTAATGTCAATCGCTACCCGCGGCAAAGAACCTACAGCTGGCTGAAATTCTGGCAGCGTGGGCGCAAGAAGGATAAGGCAGGAGATACCCCTGAGGAGGCCTATCTTACTGATGAGACAGAGGCCCACACACCAGGAGGCTCGCGTGAGATCCACAACCCCATCTACCGGAAGTCGACCCGTGGAGACCCTTACAAGCCAGAAAACGAGCAGCCACTTTCATACCGTATCTGGACATCATTGGCCGTCTTTAGAAGAGACGACCTGAAATACGCCGTCAAGGTCGGCATTGGCGCAGTCCTGTACGCCATGTGGTCCTTCATCCAGTCGACTCGAGGGTTCTACGGTCACTGGCGTGGCGAGTGGGGCTTGTTGTCATACATGTTGGTGTGCTCGATGACCATCGGTGCCTCCAATACTACTGGTTTCCAACGTTTTGCTGGTACATGTCTCGGAGCTATACTGGCAATCGCCGCATGGATCGCCGCTGACGAGCATGCCTTTGTCTTGGGTTTCTTTGGCTGGGTTATATCCCTGTTCTGCTTCTACATCATCGTTGGAAAGGGGAAGGGGCCTATGGGTCGCTTCATTCTACTGACCTACAATCTCTCTGCACTTTACGCATACTCGCTCTCGGTCAAGGACGATGACGACGATGACGATGAGGGTGGTATCTCACCCGAGATCTGGGAGATTGTACTCCACCGTGTGGTTGCGGTGATGGTTGGATGCATATGGGGTATCATAGTGACGAGAGTCATCTGGCCTATCTCTGCGCGCCGCAAAGTCAAGAAGGGCACGTCTCTACTATGGCTAAAGATGGGGTTGATCTGGAAACGTGGGCCTCTAAAGACCTTACTCGAGGCCAACGAACGCACCAGCAGGACGTACACGTACATGTCGGAACGCGAAGAGCTGGAACTCCGTCGGTACCTTTCTCATCTGGACACGCTGCGAGCATCAGCTGCCGCAGAGTTCGAGCTCAAGGGCCCGTTCCCAGACAAGAGCTTCAAAGTCATTTTAGGCGCGACCAGCCGTATCTTGGATAGTTTCCATGCTATGAACGTCGTCATACTCAAAGATGTGAAGGCCTCAGAGGGCGAGAAGGAAGTCTTGAGGTATACCAAGAAAGAGTGGACGGACCTGAGTTGGCGCATCAGTCATCTCTTCTCTGGTGAGTCACACTTGACAAGCTTTCTCAAGAGCACCGGCTAACAGTACACAGTCATGGCCTCCTCAATGAAATTGGCATACCCGCTCAACGACGTCTTGCCTAATATCGAACACACGCGAGATCGTCTACTAGCAAAGGTCTTTGAGTTCCGACAGAGCGGGCTGGGAAAAGTTATTGCCAATGATGAAGATTACGAGTTGCTGTACGCGTACGCGTTGGTGACTGGGCAGCTCGCGCATGATCTCAACATCATTGGACAGGAGATTGAGAAGCTGTATGGTGTGTTGAGTGAGGAGGACTTGAAGTTACAGTAGATATGCAATGCACATAAAAGCTGCTCCTCGCGATCTGTTTACGTTCTCTGTTTGAAACAGCATACGCTTCTTGACTTGTGTGAGGGGTGTGGTGATTGCCACCCTTAGTCTCCGCGGTAATAACGCAGGTGCAGTAGCTCGCTTGTGATGATCCTAAATGAGTCACGATGATAGATGCGGCACACCTCGCAGCACGGTGACCTAGGCGTCGATGATCTCAATGCGTCATCCATCGTCGGTGCCAATATCGTTACATGCGCGTTGTCGCGTGATGGACGTCTCAAGCTCACCAAGAAATGTCCGACGATGAGCTGCAACCCCATCGGTCTAATGATAGAAATAAGCTTTGGGGCCATCTGTCGTTGACTCACGTTGTGATTGTGCCTAGTTTACGCATCTAGCAGTCGCGAAACATTGCCACACAGCTGATCTTGGTAACGTAAACTTTGGCTTTGAACTTCGCGGAAATGAGAGCGATGGTCCTTTCGTGGAGTGAGACGGAAATCCTACACGCGACAACTTGTACTTTCCATAATGCAAAAACGGTAGCTTTTGTTTTGGAAGGTGCATTGAAGTTGTTGTTGGTGTCTGGGGTCGGGGTCGTAAAACGACTAGTGGCCGGCACGTGATGAGCTTGGCGCTCTAAGCGATCACGCGCACCTGCCCAGGTCGGATCCTCAATATTCTGCGAACGTCTTGCCGCGACTCTCGATACTAACCTCCAGGACAACCAACCCGTCAAAATGTAAGGAATACCGATTGCATACCCTCAGCATTGCTTCGAAGAGCACTTCCGCACCCGCAACCACGTCGCCGACTCGCAGTGCTGCTCAGCAGGCGCCCGAGACGTGGCGAACCCCTCTTTTCACGATAGCACTTTCCATCGTCCACGACCGTACAATTGATCAAAATACTGACGGAGTGTGTTTCGCAGGGTCAACCTCCGCACTCAGAAGCGCCTCGCGGCCTCCGTGGTCGGTTGCGGAAAGCGCAAGATCTGGCTCGACCCCAACGAGACCAGCGAAATCGCCAACGCCAACTCCCGCCAGACCGTCCGCAAGCTCGTCCAGGATGGCCTCATCATCCGCAAGCCCGTCACCATGCACTCGCGTGCCCGCGCCCGGGAGCTGACCGCCGCTCGACGAATTGGCCGACACCGTGGTTTCGGTAAGAGGAAGGGTACCAAGGACGCTCGTATGCCAAGGTACGCAATCACGATGCCGCTCCCGCAATGGACTCGACAGAGATTCATTGTGGGGAGTGAAGGATGAAGGAGACTGATTGCTGATGCGGATGTCTATAGCCAAATCGTCTGGATGCGCCGTCTCCGTGTCCTCCGCCGTCTCCTCGTCAAGTACCGTGCCGCCGGAAAGATCGACAAGCACCTCTACCACGAGCTCTACCACCTGTCCAAGGGTAACACCTTCAAGCACAAGCGTGCTCTCGTTGAACACGTACGTCCGCCATGACATCATGACTATGTCAAACCCCGCTCCATGCTCGGCTACTGACACGCATCGTAGATCCACAAGGCCAAGGCTGAGAAGGCCCGCGAGAGGGCTATCCAGGAAGAGATGGATGCCAAGCGCGCGAAGACCAAGGCGGCGAGGGAGAGGAGGCAGGAGCGTGTCCAGCAGAAGCGTCAAGCTCAGTTTGGCGACGATGCGGAGTAAACACGGGATATCATGATGAACACCTGGCGTGGGTCTTTTCAAGGTTAAAGGAGGGCGTCAATCTCCTTTTTATCTGGGCATATGCGGTCATGTTTCATGTTACGTCTGTGAAGGACTCTTCTCTCCATGCATACTCGACCGACAAGGCTGCCCTCACTCTGATCACCGATGCTATGAGTGTACCAAAAAGGATATGCGCATCGGAATTAGAAACCAGTAGTCAAACTTGGAGTTGGTCTGCTTTCATGCATTGTCTGTGGATCTGATTGCGTGATGCTTGCTCGAATGATTCTCATTCGCATTCCTGAAAGTACCCCGGATTACCCAATCCCCATGACACGGACGCCATACACCCTGTTACCTGCTTAGGGTATCAAACAACCAAAGCGCCTTATCCAAACACCTCGTGCTGAGCCAACCTTGGTCGCATGACCATGCCTTTAGATCTAGGTTTCATCAGTACATGTTCTCACCCATCGCATGTTATTACTCACCAACTTGAGTGCAGCCCTATGCACGTTCCTCGTAAAGTTGAGCATAGCCTTCGCCTTGTTGTTCCCCCTCTGCAGCCGCCTGTAACCCTCCTGTACATGACTCGGCTGCACCGGCTCCCTCGCCTCCTCTGGCGGATCAAACAGACCACGCTCTCTCTTCCTCTTAAGCCTGTTCTGCTCACCACCATGATTCTTCTTGTAAAGGTCTTCCGCATCCTTGACCTTGAGCGCCTCCTCCGTAAGCGTCTGCACAATCTCAAACGTCAAGAAACCGAGGATATCGATGATGTCGTCAGAGGGTTTGGAATCGGTGATGAGACCGAAACCCGCCCATTCTTTGAAACGCTTGCCTTTGCGGTAGGTGAAGGATGCTTGGCGGCAGTCAGACCAGTGGACGTATTCTTCCCTCGTCATGTCTTTGGTACGTTCGTCTGCGTTTTTGAGGCGTTGCAGGGTAGCGTAATTCATTTCCTCTTCTTCCTCGTCTTCGACATCGTCTTTTTGCGGTGGGAACTCAGTGAAGAAGGAATGCACGTCCCAGACTAAATCAACTTTCGCGCGCTTGGCTTTTTTCGAGGCGTCGACGGGGGCGGCGCCGGGGCCTCCTGCTCCTACCACGCCGGCGGCTATGTCTGCATCTCCGGCTCCGACGTCTGCGCCGCCATCGCCGCCTTTGTCGTCTGAGTCTTTGACGGAGCGTCGCACGTCTTTCCATTGCAGGAAGTGACGAAGGCGCGAGATTTTGGCGCGGTCGTGTCGGATTAGCATGAAGAGGTCGTCTGTGGATATGGATTTGCTGCCGCGGCGTGTGGCTAGGGCTGTGCATTCTCGTAGCATGTGCTGGACTTGGTCTTGGACGATTGATTCGATCAGGGTAGTTGTTTCGGGGGAGGGTTCGCCGGTTTCGCCGGAGACGAACATCATCTGTGGGATCGTTAGATTCAGGCCGACGTCGAAGTGAATTTCGAATGGAAGCAGAGCTTCTGGAGATGCGGGCCGAGACATTGGGGGCGAAGAAAGCGCAGGGGAGGATGTAGAAGAGGCCATGGTGGTGGCCTCTTGCAACATGGTTGGGGGGAAGTGTGTGAGTCAAGGAAATGTGTGGGTGGCACAAGTGCTGGGGGCATCTTGTGGGTGAGCTTTTTTGGGAGCTCGCTTGTATCTTTGCAAGATGGGATGGGGTGGGTGATGGGACGATTGTAGGTGAAGTAGAGTTGGGGCCATGTTGGCTGTCCATCTAGAACGTGACTGCGGATGAACAAGAACCATAACCCATATACGATTTATGAACATTGGCGTGATGTGGGAGCGAATTTCCGGAGTCTTTGAATGCATTCATCCAAATGTGAAATTGTGTTGGTGCTTGCGTAGGCGCGCATAACAGCGTCCTTCATGTACAGGGAAGGATGTGAAGGCCGATGATGTTATAGGCAGCGTAGTTCAACCCAAACTTTCCAAAATCCATCTCTTTCTTGTTTTGAACGTCAAAGAAGAATCATGAGAGAACCACAAGAAGAAGATGCAATTGACTAACCTGCTGGATCTCCGTCCGATACTTGGCCATCTTATCCTTGTCCGACATGGTGTCTTACTCCGTCGTCCAAAGGCTCCTATAATCATACAAAGCGCGTCGTCAACTTCTTACAGCTATACAAAACAGAAAGTCGAACACAAGAGGCGTGGGGCGCGGCGAGGAATGTGAATGGAGTCCGGGGATGGGACGCGGTTTGCGGTCTACTAGCGCGATTTCAGACGATGCCTGATGCGACAGCACGGGTTGGCCCGAGCACGCTCAGCCCTACCACATGCAAATCATCAGCCCCGCTCAACTTTTTGTCAATTTGGCGAACAACCCCACCACGACTTTCACCCCACGCGTCACCACTGCCCATTATGCTGTATCTCGTGGGTCTCGGCTTGGCGGACGAAAAGGACATCACTGTCAAGGGTCTGGACATTGTGAAGAAGGCGGAGCGCGTCTACCTCGAGGCGTACACGGCGGTGCTGCTGGTGGAGAAGGATGTGCTTGTGAGTCCAAGATGCGATTGATGAGACAAGCACTAGGAAACTAATTATCACGGCAGTAGGAAGCTTTCTATGGCCGCGAAGTCATCATAGCCGACCGCGAAATGGTCGAGTCGTCCAGCGACGATATCCTCAAAGATGCTGACAAAGTCGACGTCGCATTCCTTGTCGTAGGCGATCCATTCGGGTATGTTCCTCCACGAATACATACTACGCCTATCTAACACCCGACAGAGCGACCACACACACCGACCTCGTCCTCCGCGCCCGCGAACTCTCTATCCCCACCCGCTCCATCCCCAACGCCAGCATCCTGACCTCGATCGGCACGACCGGCCTGCAACTCTACAACTTCGGGCAAACCGTTTCCATGGTCTTCTTCCTTGACAACTGGAAACCCGCCTCCTTCTACGACCGCATCAAGGAGAACGTCTCCATCGGCCTACACACGCTCGTCCTCCTCGACATCAAGGTCAAGGAGCAGAGTCTGGAGAACATGGCGCGCGGACGCAAGATTTACGAGCCGCCGCGCTACATGACTGTTGCGCAGTGCGCGCAGCAGATGCTGGAGATTGAAGAGGATGTCAAGCAGGAGGGTGCTTACACCAAGGAGAGTCTGGCTGTGGGTGTTGCGCGGGTTGGTGCTGAGGATGAGAAGATCGTCGCTGGAACATTGGCACAGCTGTGTGAGGCGGATCTGGGGAAGCCGCTGCACAGTCTGGTGCTACTGGGTCGACGGACACACGACCTTGAGAGGGACTTCCTCGAGGAGTTCGCTGTGGATAAGGAGAAGTTCAGGGAGGTCTGGAAGAGAGACTACGAGGGCAAGCAATGAGTTGGCATGTAGCAGCACGCGAAATCGCTTAGATGCGGCTCTTGTTCTGATGAATCACCACAATCCAATGTCAATATGCCATACTGAGACTGACAGACGAATCTGGGCATTGCGTGCGTAGCCATAGTTGCCTCTACTCGATCCTGCATTCTGTCCATGTCTGCGCTGTTCGCTCGCGAATGCTGACCACATGTCGTATACATGTGTTATCCTGTTTCTTTTCCGTCGTTCCAGTTCTCCATGTATTCGACATGGTATCGTCCTTGCATCTATATCCCATTTTCGAAGACTTTCTTCATCGTTGCGATGCACTTTTCCAACTCCTGCTCTTGTAACGGGTGAAGGGCTAAGCAGAGCCTGAACCGATGCTCCGGAAATGGCTCGTGTGAAGGGAACATTTTGATACTTCGAGACCACTTCCAGTCTCCTTGTACGACTATTTTTGGGTCTACATGCGCGAGCGCCGTTGTTCTTAATAGTATGTTCCGCCACCATCCAACATCGCTCATCTTACTGATAAGAGTCCTATCTTTACGGGCATGAACCGCAAGTGCCACGATCTTGCGTATGATCCAACAGCTACAAGTATGTAAACTCTTCTTCTCCATAAGCGAAGGCCAGATCATCCGGATGGTAAAGGCGTGATATTCTTCGCAAATACGAGCGATCAAACGCCAACATTTGTCTGCAATGAACTCTCGTACAAGGAGGGGACGGTGTTCCCATACGGTGATCTCTCGGAGACAACTATGCAGGGCCATGGGAACATCTTCGAGGAAGTTCAATAGGTCAAGTGGACCGCATGCAAACAGTATGTCATTGCGACATATAACGATGTTCTTCGTCTCTTCTTTCAGTTGCCGGCAAACATGTTTAAGCTGGTTGACCTCCCTGGCGGTCTCGAGGCTGTTGTCGAGCTGTTTTGCATACCAATCTTGCTCGCGTTCCTTTTTGGAAGGTCTCTTTTCCATGACAGGGACCGCGTAGAAGCGGAATATTCCGGAGTTGCTGGATGGTTCTTCGCGACATACCACACCTCTCGGGTTCGTGAGAGTGTTTTCGTAGACTATATTTCTGAGCTCAGCAGAGAGTTGGAAGAAATGGCAAGTGCCATCCGGGGAGGGTTGGCTTGGATCCATGATGTCTTTGCGGCGGTTCGGAGTGGTGGGGTTTTGATTGCGTTGGGTCGAGAAGTCGATCTTTAGGGACGTGGGGATATTGAGATGGTAGATAGTAGATAGTAGATAGTAGATGGTAGATGGTAGATGGTAGATGGTAGATGGTAGATGGTAGATGGTAGATGGTAGATGGTAGATGGTAGATAGTAGATGGTAGATGGTGCGATGTCTTTGGACGAGCGTACTGTATTTTTATATCGCCCTGCACATTACCAATATGGTTGAGTGGCCGTCCTTCGGTTGCCGTCTATTGGTACCTTACTGCGTTAGTGGATCCAGATAGGGATGAACCACCCACAACTTCTGCATTTTAAATGTTATCTGTCAGAGAATAGATCTTTGGGTCAGAAAATCTGCTCCTTTCCAACAACAGACAGTGGTGATCTTTCATTTATGTTCCCTTGCAATGCTGATTGCGGAACGAATGTAGCCATAAGTACATCGTACAAGACGTCGCCCGTCGAAATG